GCCACGGTGTCCGGGTAACGAGACTCCGGCCTGCAGGAGAACAGCTGACTGACGAAGACAAAGAGGAAGAACAATGAGAGCTGCGGTTTCCATGGAAACTGTTTCCACGATCAGCTGTGAGTAAAAACCAGGTTTCCTGTTCTGTGTTTAAACAAAGACGTGCAGACTGGCGACACGTGACCTCTGACACGTGACCTCTGACACGTGACCTCTGACACGCGTTTGTCAGCTAAACATGGCGACGGCGTTCTCAGTGACGACTACTACGTGCGGGCTACATACTGACTACAGTAAGCTGTAGTAGAATAAGGTACAGGTGTGTGTTACCTGGCTTCCACCATACTGGCGACATCAACGCCAAGGCAGTGTGGGCGGGGCAGGGTGCACAGGAAGTGCAGGTTGGCGGGGCTGAAGGCTCGAACCGTCCCATCGGAGCAGCCGCAGAAGATGAAGTCGTCAGTGACGCACAGACAGGTGGCCTGAGCCGTCTGAGGACACACGGACAGGTAAGTACACGCACCTGCACCTGAGCGGTGACAGAATGCAGTAATACTGCAGTACAATGCTAAAGTGCTGACACTACTGCAGGACGGCGCTGCGATGGCGAGGGTGACGTGCCAGAGTGGGCGTGGTGATGTTACAGCCATGAGGTCGTTAAACGTGGACCTGGTTTGAAATTGACCAATGAGGGTGAGATGAAGGGAGTGGGTGTGTCTGATCTTTGTCACCAGAAACGTTTTTTTGCTGTAAAAATCGCTCCTCGCCGTTCAGCCGCCACGGCGCCGTGTCAGAGAGGATCGATAGCAAATGAACATTGTGATTAATAATGATGTCACAGTCAGCTGGTGGGAGGAGCTGTGGTGAAGGGCAGAGTTTGAAATGAAACAACGTAAACACGTTTGTGGCGGCGTGCGTGTGTGGGATGTATTCGCGGCGGGCTGAGGTGGGACGAGGACTTACGGCGGCAGAGTCGACCCTCTGCGCAGGAAGCATGTGTACGTGTGTGCACCTGCAAATTTTTTTTTTACGTGCGCTCAGAATAGTGGCACAAAAATAACGCATACGCTGCGGCCACCACTGCGCCGCGTTAGCGTCTGCTTTTAGCCGCTCGCGATGGTAAAGTCAGTGATAACGAGCACCGTGTGGGTGTAAATCATGGAAGCACACGCTGACTACATTAGCTTATGTCAGCAGCTCTTCTCACAGATAAAACTCTCTCTATAACGTTAGAGCGTCCTTTCACACAAAACAGAAAACCGTGTAAAACCAAAGACACAGCAAAATGACCTCACCTTTACACGTCCTGAAAATAAGGGCCAATTTACAGAAACACAAGTACTTTTATTTTGGAAATCTGAGGTCAGTCTTGCTAGTTGGATGTTGCAGGTTTATGTGGTGGAACACAGGAAATTCTCTCTGCGGGGACACCAACGGTCCAAAATGACCGGAAACCACAGACAGAGCCGGCTGTAAGTCAGAGAGGAACGCTCACAACCACAGAAACACATAATTACACACATACCAATTTAACAAGCTCCAGTGACATCACTTCCTGTAGAGAGACGTCGACTCAGCAAAAAGGACGAGCTTTTTGTTTTCCAAGAGGAAGAGAAACAAAGGACCTCGAGTCAGAGGACAACTAATCTGTAAGACTGACCTCTGACCTTCAAAATCAAGTCAGACCAGCAGGGG